CCCCTTCTTCTCCTATATTTACAGGATGGAGATTGTGCTACCCCCATGTAGGGATAGATATAGATTCTGAAAGAAACTATTTATGGGAGGTGCTTGCAAGCTTGGTTTGTTTTCTGTTAAATTGCAAAACCTTCATTTGCCAGCCCCTCACCACAATGTCCCAGACACTGCAATTAAGCGTAGCGTGTTGCCATCAGAAACAGCAACGCATCATTCCCGGGGCAATTAAAAGCCCCGCTCTCAAAACGGTGACACTCCGGCCGGAATCCGGATGGATGGATGGATGGACGGACGGACGGACGGACGGAAGGATGGATGGAGGGATGGAGGGGGGAGGACGTTTATCTGTGTCACCTCCCTACAAGCATCACCGCGGAGGGGTGCGGTGCGCTCCGCACCTTGGGCAAGGCTTTTTGGGGTTGCCCAGAGTGGCCTTGCTGGGGGCCTGGGGGGTCCCGCCCGGGACACCGCCGCTCCGCGGGGCAGCTCAGCTCCGCGGAAGGCCGCGCAGTTCTCCGCAGGAGCGGAGCGGGGGCCGCCCCACGCCGGGACGCGCAGCCCCCCGCACATGTGTCTCAACCCCCAAACCGACTGAACGGCGGGCGGCCGCGCTGCTTTCTGTCCCCAAGGCGTTCCCTCTCAGGGTATTAATGTCAATTAACATTGAATAAATATTCATTTCCCTCGATGGAGCTCACCGGGGCCGGGCTGGGAGCTCCGGGCTGGGGTGTCCCCGTCCCCTCCCAGCTCGGAGCATCCCGACCGGTGTCCGTGGGCAGGCGTGGTGGTGTTTACACTCGTGTAATCCTGAGAAGGCGGGGGAGAAAAGGGCTGCTGTCCCGGCTGGGAGAGGAGGGGAAGGCGTGAGTTCATTTTCCAGCAGCCCCCGGCTTCGCTCCTGCCTTGCCAGATTGCAACTTGAGAGCATCCCTGCGGGCGAGCCTCCCTCCGCGGCCAAATATTCGGCGAGGGTCTTATTAGTAAACCTCAGGGGTGAGCGGAGTGCGGGCCAGCCTCCCTGGGAAGCAGAGGAAAAAAGAAAAACAGCGAAGCAGCCAATGTATAGAGGCTTATAAAGGCAGGAGTTACCCTCACACTTATTTGGTGGTCAGTTCTTTCCATTACCTGCTCCATAATTCATTCACTTTTACAGTTGATTTATCAAAGACCAAATATTTTGGGTCGTAAACGCTTCATCTCCGCTTTTATCTGACTTTAGATTTAAGAAGCCCCCCCCCCTTACCCCCTTTTTAGCCCGTGATGCTGCGAGGATCCACATTAGAGAGGGTTTGGAAGTGGGGCAAACGCGCGGGGTCCTGCGCTCAAAAACCCCTGCATGCTCTGGGATCTGCTGAGCCTAAAACCCGAGAAACTCGACCTCGGTCGTAAAAGTGGGGTCCCCCCCTCCTGCCCACTCCCCTCCCCGTCCCTCATGCCCACTGTGCGATCGTGCTTGTGGAATTTCATCAGCAAGCAGAGATAGAGTTGTCATCCCTATTCAGCAGCAGTTTATGGCTCTCCCCTCAGCGGATTTTACAACCCACATTCCACGACCTGCACATTTTTACTTTACAGCTAGCCTGGCTATTTTGCTTTTTTTCTCCTTTTAATGACTGGATCTTTTCTTCTTTTAAAAAGAAAGAGGGGTGGGGGGGAAAAAGGGAAGAAGAAGAGGAGTCCGGTGGAATGTGTGGAGGAGAGGCCGAGGGCTGCTGTTCACCATCCCCACTGCTCTGGGAAAGAATACATTATACCATAGATATACATAGCATTTACATAGAAAATAGAGTCAGGATCACAAACACCATATTGTAGAATTATTTCCAATCACATTCCAGGAAATGTCGGGTGGAGGGGACAATTAGGAGCTGGGCCCTTTCCAAACCCCACTTGCAGGCAGCTGGAGGGTCGGGGGGGAGCTGGGGTAAGTGATGAGGCGCAAGAGCATCCCTGGGGTAGCAGCCCCACTGTCAGCCCCAGAAGTCACTACTGAGCCCAAAAGATCCCCTGAAATAATGAAGACCATCACACACCTTCCAAGCAGGCACCCTGATGACAGCTTTAAGAGAGGACAAATAGTTGGATTTGTGTAGGTAGCAGATGCCTCTCTCGCTCTGCTCGACTGTATTTTCTGTATTTGTTCGCCAACCATCCGAAATTTCTGGTATCTAAATGAAAATTAAAGCAGGAGCTCAGAGTCTCAGCGGTGCTACGAGGGCAGGAAACTTTCTGAAGTTTGTTGTTCCCTCGGAGACACGCACAGGCACACACACACTCCCCCAAAAAGCGCTGCACGCTTTTCCTAGATGGAGGGAAATTAAAGCCGGTGCGGTTTGGGGGCTGAGAACAGGGAGGGTGAGGCAGGGAAATCCTCAGGCAGGAGTTGATCCTGCAAATAAAAAGAAGGGCTGTCCCAGGTTGCACAGGTCCTCCGAGGATTTTGTCCCCCCGTGGGACCGCAGTGGATGGGTGCTTGCTAGACTGCACCCAAAGACCAAAGCAAGAGCGCAAACCGAACCAGCAGCCCCCCCAAACATCTCCCCCCAAACCCCCAAACTGATCTAAATCTGCATTTATTTCCCAGGCACCGACAGAAAACGCGGCCGCCAGACCTACACCAGGTACCAGACCCTGGAGCTGGAGAAGGAGTTCCACTACAACCGCTACCTGACGAGGAGGAGACGCATCGAGATCGCCCACGCTCTGTGTCTCACGGAGAGACAGATCAAAATCTGGTTCCAGAACAGGCGCATGAAGTGGAAAAAAGAGAATAAAACTGCCTGCTCCGGCTCCAACAGTCAGGAGAAACCAGACGCGGAGGACGATGAAGAGGAATGAAAGGGGCAAGGGGGGGATGCAGGAAACGTGGAAGCCCACGCGAGAAGAAAAGGGGGGGAAAAACACACAGAAAAAGACTATATATGAAAATAGATACATGATAAGTGCATAAATAACTAAAAACCCTAGGAATGATACATTGTGTTTCCTGACACTGAAAAAAATACTACCTATATTAAAGTCTTTTTTTTTTTTTTTTTGTACAATAGAATGACTATCTACCTATTAAATGTGGCTTTAGAGTCAGAATAGACACATTTTTCTATGTGAGTCTTCCTATAGTACAAGTAATTTGTAAATCTCCGTTTGTACTTCGCTGTGTACTTTTTGGTATGAAGTAACGTGGTCGTGTCTAGCACCTTTAATTTAGAAAATGTGACCTGAAAGTCTGAATGCAAATTATACTTAGCGTATATAGTCCTGTACATAATATGAATGATTATTACGCCTTCTCCCTGTAACCTCCGTGGTTCTTTTCTCCTTGCTATGCTCTTTTGTCTGTGTATATTTTTACCTGGATTTCTTCCTTGTTCAAGTCTCTACGGAAAAAAGAAGAGGAATTAATATTGTGCTACGTAAAACATTGTATATCAAAGTAGCAAATTATTTAATGGCGACGCGTTGCTTTTTTTTATTTTTCCCCTTGTCTGTGATTATTATTCTTCCAAATAAAAAGGAAATCTCCAATAATCTACCATCGCGTTGGGTTACTTCCCCTTTTCTTATTAAAAATAACAGACGGGATTTTGGAATTGCTTTTTCCCCTGTAAAATAAATGAACTAAAAGATCCTTTCAGATTAATGCATGCCTCGATCTATCATCCTAAAGTTCTCTCCTTTTTTAGGGCAGCCACTCCCTTCAAAATTTTAGTACCTTTTCAACAGATTCGGCGAATATACTAAGATATAGATGATATTCGGGGCTCTCGAAAGGCGCGCTGGTCTCCTTTCTCTCTCTCCCTCTGTGATTGCGCTGGGGCTATTACTGAAGTAGGCAAGAGCATAAAGGAGGAATGTAAAGAAGCCAGAATCAGCCCAAATAGTCTTTCCGCCCCTTATTTTAATTCTCTTCTTCTGGTAACTAATTTGCAGAAAAGCGATCTATTTTGCCGTGCCTTTAGGTTTTTTGTTGTTGTTGTTTTTTTTTTTAGATTCTCCCTCCGCCCTTCAATTACTTTACTGCGGACTGGAACTCTTTCATTAGCACCAAATAATGTTTAGCATCAAAGCACGCATAAAATAAATTAAAGCAATTAAAGGCAGGAAAAAATCAACAATGCAAAACAAAAGGCGAGTAAATTTAAGCACTTGCGCGGGGGAGCATCCTCCGCCGCCCTCTCCCCCCTCCCGCCCCTGCCTGTTTATTTACATTGCCAAGCTGCGCAGTAAAAGACGCGGATTCCTCCCGCGGAGGCTCCACGTAATTTACTCCACAAATGCGTTGCGCAAGATGCACAGGGAAAAAAAAAAAAAAAATTAAAAAAAATGCAGCCAGCTTTGGAAGGACTTGGCGATGGCAGCTTTCCACCTTCTCCCCTTCCTTCCCTCTCTGTCTCTCTGCTTTTTTACCACCCACCACCACAGATGACTTCATGTCCTAAGTGAAGGCGCGCAGGGCATCCTTTAGCAGGTTTTCGCGAAAATAAGATGCCACGTCAAGCAGCTGCGCGCCCACGTCTATCATACAGATTTGCAGTATATGCTGTATATACCAATTATGGGAAGCCCATTATTAAAGGCAGCAGCTATTATGGCTTTTGCACACTGAAATTCTCTCTTGAAGGGAAAGGAAAAGAGAGGAAAATCTTCCTTTTTCCTTGAAATCCCTTGGTGCAATCTCTTTGCAGGAGCCCTCTGTGCATAGCAGAGATGGGAAGGAAAAAAAAAAAAAAAAAGCAGCAGTTCCAGAAATTTCCCCCCCCCGTTCCTGGACCGCAGTGGCCCGGCTGGCTGCCCCCCCCCGGCACGGACCTCTGCGGTCGGGGGGCAAGTAGGAATTGAGGAGAATTCCAGGAAAAAAAAAAAGGCAAAGCGAGTCACACCGACGCTTTAATACGCTAAAGCCAGGGCAGCGGTTTTACCGGTGGGGCGACCCACCTTGCCGGATCCCCCCCCCCCTTCTCCCCGCGCTGTAGCGGGGGTCGCGGGGGGACCCGGCGGTTCTTGGGGGGGTCTTTGGCCGTGGGGAGCCCGGCAGGCACGAACCCCGCCGGCTCGGCTCTGCCCAGGGCATGGGCACCCCGGCCACGCTTTTATTGCCTTTATTTGCCTCTTTTTTTTCTCCCTCCCCCCCCCGCCCCCAAAATCTAATTGCCCTTTTCAGCAGAAAGGATCCCAATTGCGTTAAAAAAAAGAAGACATAAAAAATCCCACCCGAACCCCACTGTTTTACTGTGCCTTTCCCCATTTAAAAGCCAACCCCAACCCCAAGCTCTTTATTCTGGGGGGGCTGTTATTGTTCATAGCCTAACGTGTGAGGCGTTATTCGATTATTTCTCTCCAACACCCCCCCCCATGCAACCAAGGAGGGGGGAAAAAAAATTCCTGAACCCCCTTTCATATTCTTTTATTTTTGTTTAAAAAAAAGATGGCGGCTAAGAAAAAGACTGCTGTTAAACCGGTCATGAAGAAATGCAATAAATTCCTTGTTGTTTTATGAAAATTTACAACTTTGTGATAGAACTTTATGAGTGGCTGGGTTCTGGGATTGGCCAGAGCCGGTCATGTGGACTGCTAACCGTGAACATGAACTTTTTATTATTTCCCATGTGGTTATATTGCACCATTCTTCTGTCCGCTGCACCTTGGGTCGGATCAGTGTCCTCTATAGGGCTCTCGCCTCTTTACATTTTTTTACTTTTGTGTATAAGCTCGATAGGGCTAAAACAGGGGAGAGGGGAGGGGGGGACGCCTATACACACATCCACACGCACACATAGACACCCACCTCTGCACACACACATAGGAAAAGAGTTATATGCTCTTTTTTTTTCATTATTAATTTTTTTTTTAATTCCTCTGTTAATTTGCCTGCTGATTTGGAATCTCAGTAGTAATGGAGGGGCAGAGGAGATTCTGGACCGAGTGGAGGCTATCATTTTTCAAAGAGGGAAGTTACTCCATTTTCTATGCAAATGACAGAAATGCAAGAAGCTCTCACAAGTCAGAGAGGCAATCGACGGCTATCAGGTTGGGACAATATTTGTCAGCTAACAGATAAGCAAACGCTGTCTCTCTCTCCCTATATATTTTACTTATACCACAGAAATGGACGTCAAAAGGTAAGGGAATAATATCTGTTTCTCTTCATTTAATTTTTTCTTTGAGAAAATGCATTTGTCAAGCTGCCTTTTCTATTCCACTCCCCATCTCCCTCTCCCCTGTACCCGGGGGTGGGGGAAATAGAAAGAAAAGGGTGGGGTGATGAAGAAGGGAGGCATTGGAAGAAATCAGGGGTGGTGGAAAGCTGTTTAAGTGACAATTTCCCCGAAAAACTGTAGCGTAAAGGTGAGAAAAAGAAAGAAAGGGAGAGAGAAAGAAGAATGGAAGCAAGGTAGAGAAAGAAATTGAAAGAAGGAAAGAAAGAAATCGAGGAAGAAAATAGACCAAATAGAAGAAGGAAAGTGAGAAAGAAACAGGGAAGAAAATAAGAAAGAGAAAGAGAAATAACATAACGGAATAAGAAGGAAAAATAAAGCCTGTGAGGTCACCTGGAGACAGTAGACTTGGAATGAAGGATTTTGCAGTAGCTCGGTGACGGAGGCTTTTAGATACTGCCTTTAAAAAAATACCAACCCCTTTGTGGGTAGTTGTCGTGTTTTATTTCCCCCCCCCTCGCAGAATCTCTTGCCAGTTTGTCTGTCTTGAGGCGAGCCCAGTAATTTGGCGAAGTTTGTGTGGAAGCCAGTTGGGTTTTGCGTTGCTCTCCAGGGTCATTATTATGTGGGTGGTTTCTTCGGAGAGGGCAGTTCGCGGCAGTCCTCGGAAATAAGGTTCTGGAAATCAGTTAAAGAAAAAGGGGGGGGGGGGGCAAAAAAAAAAAAAAGAAGGAAAAAAAATAATAAGAAGAATGAAGCCAAACCAGAGCGCAGAGCTCTCATTGTATTTTTTTTTTTCCCCCTCCTGAAACTCCCAAATGAAGCTGACGTTGCGATGCAATAAACCTCCTTGTATTTAATTGCGTTCTGCAGTGTTAACGGGGCTTTACGGCTTTCCCGACCGGAATACCGGCTTGGGTTTCAGCCCCACGGTGTGTCGGTGCTTTTCCACACCAGGTTATGTGCAAATCTTCCTCTCCTTTCCCTGTCTGATACCCTAACGCTTGCCTTCGGGTTTAGGAAAATATTTATCCGGAGATGCCCGTCATTTTAAATGTGTTTTTTTTCAAGATTTCAAGGGGGTGGGGTGGGGTGTTTGAAATATAGTACTAATTGCTACTGTTACGAGGTGTTTTTTAAATAAGATAATGCAAGAGTCTGTGTATGTGAAGCGAGATTGAGTAAGAAGAGATTCATTACTTAAGCATAAACCATTTTATGACGTGACGATTTATCTCACCTAAACTGACTGTGCCTGAATATTGTGTGGACAAGAGTAAATGATCGCAAGCCGTGGAAATAATAAACAGAAAGTCATTTTAGAAAGCTATTTCTTCCTGAACCTGTTACATTTTTCATAAATCACGGGGAAAGAAAAAAAATTAATGCCGGTTCAAACGCCTGTTCTCCCTTTTCCCTAAGTGTCTCCGCGCTCGTATTATTTTTTTTCTCTTCGTAAGAAAAAAAAATATATTAAAAATTTAATTTAATTTAGAAACCTTGCTCCAAAACGCCTTTCTGCCGATTCTTCCACATCCTACGTAGGCAACCACTTGTGGAAGCCACGCACCTCGGTGCGGATTAGCTCTTTTTTAACCATTTCAGCCCGGTCCGGCGTGGGATGCCCGAGAAAACCTCCGAGCACCCCCGGGGTGTGTATTAGGGGGGGGGGAGGGGGGGGGGGCGACACGATCCGCCCTTCTCCCGCCTGGACTCCCTTCCTGGCATCCTTCCCTGCTTGTTGATTTAAGAAAATAAAATAAAACGGCGTAAAGCCAGGGTAAACCCCCCGCCGAGCCGGTTCCCCCCCCCGTGCCGCCGCCGCCGCGCTGCGGGACTCGCCCATTCCCCGCCGTCTGCTGCCATCTACCGTCAGCGACGGCGGCCGGCGGCTCCCGGGGGGCTCCCCGCAGCCGGTGTCCCCCTTGGGGGGGACACACACAACGTGTGTGTGTGTGGGAGGGGGACATGGACACCCTGCCCCGGCTGTTCTTCTCCTCTTCCCGGCCGGGCGACGGTGCCAGGGATCGCAGTGTCCCGTCCCCCCCCTTCGCTCCCACCCCCGGTCC